GGCAGGAAACAGACAACATAATCATAGAGAGGAGCTATGTGTCCCTGAATGCTTTTGTCAAGCCTTTATGTCCGCTTATACAGTACCGATGTACAGGATAAGTATGTTAGGAAAATATAAAAGGATATTAACAAGAGACAATGAAATTAAATGAAAAAAAGTCTAAAAACACTCTTCTCACCTTAAAACAATGTGCACCTAACAAAGTGATTGTAATCTCCATCAAAGTTCTTACCATTTTAAAGTGTATGCCACGTCAAGAAACACTTGTATTACTTAGCTTACATCACAAAATTGTTTTTAGTGATATAATGTACAAATATGCTACTAATACTACTATACTAATACAACTACAGCTGCTGTAAATAAACAGGATAGGAATTGGCAAGCAAATTTTGCCAGTGATCACAGTACCTGGACGGGGTTCTGTTCATTTTCCTTTGTTTTTATTTCTTTGTAAACTCCAGGTAGCTGGCCATTGGCTGGAGATTGAATGTGTCGGGGCCCAAGGCTGACTGAGCCACCGCTTACATCCTGGTTCCAACTGGACAGGCTGAAATGTATTGACTTTTGTATAGTATTTTTCTCTCTCTTATTTTCTTTACTAAATGTACCTGTATATTGGGCGACCGTGGCTCAGGGGGTTGGGAAGCGTATCTGTAACCCGAAAGTCGCCGGTTCGATCCCCGGGCTCTCTGTCCTGGTCGTTGTGTCCTTGGGCAAGACACTTTACCCTACTTGCCTACTGGTGTTGGCCAGAGGGGCCGATGGCGCGATATGGCAGCCTCGCTTCTGTCAGTCTGCCCCAGGGCAGCTGTGGCTACAACCGTAGCTGCCTCCACCAGTGTGTGAATGTGAGAGTGAATGAATAGTGGCATTGTAAAGCGCTTTGGGTGCCTTGAAAAGTGCTATATAAATCCAATCCATTATTATTATTTACTTGTTTGAAATAAATTAACAAACAAACAAGCAAACAAACTGGACCATGCTTGTTGTTGTTGTGTAATAAAGTAGAAGAGCTAGTTAATTATTTTAATTATTATCTTCCTTTAAAAGAACAGACCTGGTATTTATACAGGTGGAAGTCTTTTTCTTTTAATAACTTTTCTTCTGTTTAGACCAGAAATGCAGGCAAGAGGCTATATTTAGGATTTGTTTGTTTTGTTTTTTTTGTCTGTGTCCCCCTGAAGTTTTCAACCTTGAGAGATAATTAAACTTGCTTGTTTGTGACTAGAAACCACACTGTAGGAGTGGAAATGAAAGGAAATGAGCCACTGAAACATGTTTCTTTGATCAGGTTAAAAAACAAAAATGGTGTAAATGGCTTTAAGCTGCTTCAGTCACATTGTGGATATACCTAAACCTGCCTACTTTCAGAACTTACAAAACAGCAAGAATAAAAACACAAAACTAGAAAAAAGACATTAAAAAAATATCTCCATTGTGAAATAAACAAATGAATGACTCTGGCATGCTGACTTGCTGTCCAACTTAGGTAAAAAAAGAAGTCAACACATTATAGCATTCAAATATACAGGGAGTGCAGAATTATTAGGCAAATGAGTATTTTGTCCACATCATCCTCTTCATGCATGTTGTCTTACTCCAAGCTGTATAGGCTCGAAAGCCTACTACCAATTAAGCATATTAGGTGATGTGCATCTCTGCAATGAGAAGGGGTGTGGTCTAATGACATCAACACCCTATATCAGGTGTGCATAATTATTAGGCAACGTCCTTTCCTTTGGCAAAATGGGTCAAAAGAAGGACTTGACAGGCTCAGAAAAGTCAAAAATAGTGAGATATCTTGCAGAGTCAAAATTGCAAAGCTTCTGAAGCGTGATCATCGAACAATCAAGCGTTTCATTCAAAATAGTCAACAGGGTCGCAAGAAGCGTGTGGAAAAACCAAGGCGCAAAATAACTGCCCATGAACTGGGAAAAGTCAAGCGTGCAGCTGCCAAGATGCCACTTGCCACCAGTTTGGCCATATTTCAGAGCTGCAACATCACTGGAGTGCCCAAAAGCACAAGGTGTGCAATACTCAGAGACATGGCCAAGGTAAGAAAGGCTGAAAGACGACCACCACTGAACAAGACACACAAGCTGAAATGTCAAGACTGGGCCAAGAAATATCTCAAGACTGGTTTTTCTAAGGTTTTATGGACTGATGAAATGAGAGTGAGTCTTGATGGGCCAGATGGATGGGCCCGTGGCTGGATTGGTAAAGGGCAGAGAGCTCCAGTCCGACTCAGACGCCAGCAAGGTGGAGGTGGAGTACTGGTTTGGGCTGGTATCATCAAAGATGAGCTTGTGGGGCCTTTTCGGCTTGAGGATGGAGTCAAGCTCAACTCCCAGTCCTACTGCCAGTTTCTGGAAGACACCTTCTTCAAGCAATGGTACAGGAAGAAGTCTGCATCCTTCAAGAAAAACATGATTTTCATGCAGGACAATGCTCCATCACACGCGTCCAAGTACTCCACAGCGTGGCTGGCAAGAAAGGGTATAAAAGAAGAAAAACTAATGACATGGCCTCCTTGTTGACCTGATCTGAACCCCATTGAGAACCTGTGGTCCATCATCAAATGTGAGATTTACAAGGAGGGAAAACAGTACACCTCTCTGAACAGTGTCTGGGAGGCTGTGGTTGCTGCTGCACGCAATGTTTATGGTGAACAGATCAAAACACTGACAGAATCCATGGATGGCAGGCTTTTGAGTGTCCTTGCAAAGAAAAGTGGCTATATTGGTCGCTGATTTGTTTTTGTTTTGTTTTTGAATGTCAGAAACGTATATTTGTGAATGTGGAGATGTTATATTGGTTTCACTGGTAAAAATAAATAATTGAAATGGGTATTTATTTGTTTTTTGTTAAGTTGCTTAATAATTATGCACAGTAATAGTCACCTGCACACACAGATATCCCCCTAAAATAGTTAAAACTAAAAACAAACTTAAAAACTACTTCCAAAAACATTCAGCTTTGATATTAATGAGTTTTTTGGGTTCATTGAGAACATGGTTGTTGTTCAATAATAAAATTATTCCTCAAAAATACAACTTGCCTAATAATTCTGCACTCCCTGTATACACGAATTAATGTTGAGTAAGAAAATATTCTGCCAATTACTTTGCAACAACAACAAATTACTAAGGTCTTTGAGGGACAGTCTGACTTGTTTTCAAAAAGAAACTGTGAGGTAGATTTGATAATAGGAGGGGAAAGTTTACATTAAGAGTAAGGACAGAGTCAATCCACAATGCTATGTCTTAAAAAAAATCACCTTAACTGCTGGAAGCTGGAAAATTAACATGAATGCCACTCTGTGAGTCCATCCTTAATTTGCAAGATATGTGAAGACAGTGCAAGGGGTACTGTGAGACCTGCATTCAAATGTGACACACAAGATTTCTGCACTGGCTTTTTAATACAATCAACAAATTTACTGATGAATTTTTAAATTATCTGAAAGCATAGTTCTATTCTAGTTCAGCTAGGCATCTTTAGTGTTAATGCTCATATTCAATTATGTTTTAAAGCTGTGTTTCTGAAAAGAGCTTCAGAAATGAAGTTAAAAATGACATAAAGTGTAAGAGTAACAGTGCAATGTGCTCAGCATCACATATGGGAGAAGAAAAGTTGTAATCAGGAGTAACAGTCTGACAGCCTGTGTGCTCCCTGATTAAAACAATATTATTTGCTCTGTACACCATATTTGCACACATTTTGAAATCACATGCAATGCTTTTGAAGACCGTTTGAGGACTTCAACACAACTTTTTATATATATAAAACAAATCTGAATAACAGAACAGATTTTAACTATAGCTGACTTAAAATTGTGATTAATTATACTTTACAAAACTAGTGATTTATGACTCCCCCCGTTAATAAAAAAAACACAAAAAAACCCAAAACGTAAAAGCGTAAATCCTAGTATCTGTTTGTGACTGCTGTTTAGTGCTGAGAAGGCTTAGCTGTATTTGTAAATTACAATGATGTAAGAAAAATTTGCGAAAAGAATTATCAGCAAAGCTGTAAGCTGCCAAACAAAACCACCAAGCTAAAAGAAAACAACACAAATAGAGAAACTGATATTAGAGTCACACTAGGAAAAACAGTAGTTGGACGCCACAGCACAACCAAAATTAGATCCTTCAGCTGTTCAAAATCCCACTAGGCTGGCCGACATGATAAATGATGGGCAGGGCTGTGAGTACTCAGACTGTGTTTTTTTGGAACACAATATGGACAAGATCTTGGAGAAGTTCATGGCTCTGCAATATGGATAACATCTTGAAGAAGAACAACGGGAATTGAGAAACCTGGTGACCAGTGATGGACATTAGACTACTGTAAAATTGGAAGCAGTTTGTTCGCACTAACCAAATCAACTACCATCTTCATCTCATGTGCCCCCCCCTAGCGCCAGCTGGATGCTCAAGGCAAAAGCTGACAGGAATAACAAATTCTCCTTTTTTTCTCTTCGTCTTTCCTCATGTTGTGCATTTTCCATTGTTATACCCAACCTGTCTTCCACATATGATGTTTGTGTAATGTATGTATGGTCGGAAGGGTAAGATGGCTCTGGCAAAGGTCGGCAGCCTTAACCCAATTTCCTTTGGGGTCAACCTTCAGGATCAATAAAGTTTTATTGAATTGAATTGAAAATGAATTGAATTGGTAATGCCACTGTGGTTATGTCTTTGTTATAGTCTACAGCCTTGAAAAATTCTCAACTGAAATGTAGAATTTGTATGTTTAAACACACAGGTAGACACAAATGCTTTGTGAGAACATGCCCTTTCTCAACATGGTATGACTCAAAGAATATTTAACTACTTGCAGCAATGAACCAGTACAGGTTTCTGTTTCCCCATTTTATCTTATCTTTGGCAAGCCAACAAGGTGCAGCGACTTGGTAAGATAAAGCTGGGTTCAAATATAAGGAATAGTTTTAGGAATTTTTATCTCAGACCATCCTCATAGTTTGTACTCACCCTGACAGCACACCTAGCACCAGGTTGAGCATGAAGAAAGAGCCGATGATGATGAGAGGGATGAAGTACAGCCAGTTCCACATGTTCCCTGAGGCATCATTGGCCTGAACACATAAACACATAGAAACAAAGACTAGAACTGTAAATACCACTCTGTGATTGTACTTATGGGATAAGACTGATTTATGCATGTTTTTATGTCTGCTCTGTGTGTATTTTTCTTCATTTCAAGCAATCTTCTAAAAATACTAACACCAACCTATATGTTTGTTCATCTGTTAGTATTGACAGGTTTCTATGGGCTCAAATTGTGGTCATAAATATTTTATACTTGTAAATCAAATGCGTAGTTGTGAACTGAGTTTTGTAACCCTGTAAACCAAAATGTGTGAAAGTTTTCCGTTTGCTTTGTATCTATAACCAGACCTCAATGAAAAGAATTTGTAACTCGTGTTCCCAGTGAAGAAGTAGGAGCCTACCAGTCAAAAGTTTTAGAACATCCCAATTTTTCCAAGTCCCTTGAATAGGTTGACAAAGGTAAGTGGTGAACTGCCAGAGGTCAAAAAAAAGAAAGAAAAGGTAAGCTCACCCAAAACTGAAAAATAATGTACATTTCAAATTATACAAAAATGCTTTTTTTTTCCAACACAACACAAATTGGGTTAACAATTTAAAACTGTTCTGCAGCAATGGAGGTTGATCAAGCTGTGAATGCTGGCTCTAATAATTCCTACAGGTGTTCCAACTTTTCTGGATTACTTACAACCTGTCTGCATAAAAGTGTTGCATCAGTTGAACAGTATTGTAGGGCTGCACAATTAATCATTAGAAAATCGCAATCTCAATTCATACTTATGTGTGATCACATTTCTAAATGACAACAATAACAAAAAAAAAAAAAAGTGACGATTGTACGGCATTTTGATCCGGGACATAATCTGCAAGAAAACAAGCGCTCACTCTTCCTGCTCAACAAATGACAAGGGCGGAGCCTTATACCACGTGATTCAGAAGCCAGCTGGCAGGAAAAAACAACGGAGAGCACGTGAGAGAAACTGCCTGAGGGGAGAAAACACAGTGAGCGCAGAGGAAAAGCTCACTGATGGCAGTGAGAATGAAAACCCAACTGTAAAATTAATTCCAAGAAAAGGTTCTCATTCCCCTGTGTGGAAGTTTTTTGGTTTTATAGAAGACAATGAGAGTCAAAATTATATCATTTGCAAGCTGTGTTTTGCCATAGTAGCAGCACCACAAGCTAACACTACGAATTTGTATAACCACCTTAAATGTCACCATAAAGTGCAATATGACAAAGCTGTAAAGGCCAAGAAAGTGACAGGAGAAAATCCGTCCCAGTCAACCACCCAAACATCAATAATGGGAACCTTATACAGCGCTTCCCCATACCCGTTGAACTCCCGCAGGCACAAAGAAATTACGGAAGCTATCACTTATCACCTGGCTAAAGATATGGCTCCCATCAACACTGTGCAAAACGAGGGATTTAGGAAAATGCTACACAGTGCCGTCCTGCAACTATTTTTCAAATGTTGCACTACCTGGTCTATACACGCAGTGTCGAGCAACGGTGGAGACGGAATTACAAGCAGTACAACATTTTGAAAAAAAATAAAGCCTCCGGAACGATCTCTACCGCCATCGGAGCCATTTTCTGGTGAGTTCCACAAGTGTGCTGGTTTCCTAACACAGATCACGTTGCCTTTTAGGCAGCTGCGGCAGAATTATGAAAGTGATGGAGCAAAAATTGCCTTTTTTGTTCAGTTACTCCGCGGTCAAGCCTTAAACTGGGCTCAAGCAGTGCTACAAACCGACCAGGAGATTGCTTATGCTGAATTTCTCTCAAAGTTTATAAGTGTGTTTGAAAGGGGCACCGGAGCAGAAGCAGCGGGTCACTGTTTGCTGAACTTAAAACAAGGAAGACGGTGTATGGCGGACTTCTCTGAGGAGTTTTGGACACTGGCTGAGGAGACTGGATGGGGGCAGCCCACGTTGATAAGTACTTTATTAAACTGTCATGGTCCTGGGTCATTTTGACCCAGTGTTCTTAGTTTTCCTGTAGTTTTGTATTTTGTTCCTTATGTCCATTGGATTGTTTGGTTTGGTATTTGGATTCCCCCTGTGTCCATGCTTTTATTGTGGTGTTTGTTCTGGTACCGTGTTCCCGTCCTTTGTGTTCTGTGTTCTCGTCATCCCCTCGTATTCATCCTTGTTCTCTGCCTCTCTCTCTCTGTGCTCATCTCTGTGTACTGTGTTGTGTTTAAGGTCCACATCTTGGTGTCAGTATTTTCAGTTTCGTGTCCTCCCTGCTCGGTCATGAGTAATTGTCTTCAGCTGTGTTCCCCGTGTGTTCCCACTTCCCTCGTTACCTTCTTGTATTTATGTCAGAGTGTCCCTTTGTTCTGTGTTGCGTCGTCCCTCTAGGTTGTGTGCATTTCCCGTGTCTTCCCAGCGCCTCAGCTTTAGTTGCTCCCAGTATAGTTTTTGTATGACTTCTTATCAGAGGTGTGGACTCGAGTCACATGACTTGGACTCGAGTCAGACTCGAGTCATTAATTTTATGACTTTAGACTTGACTTGAAAAAATGTTCTAAGACTTGTGACTTGACTTGGACTTTTACACCAATGACCTGGGACTTGAATTGGACTTGAACCGGTTTACTTGAAAAGACTTGATATTTCACCCCAAATATAAAATTTAACATGCATATTATATAGAGATTGAAAATGTGACGTCATTCAGGCGCAAAGGATTCTGGGAACTCGTGGCAAGAGGTACTAGCGCACGCAGGCTTTCAATTGAAATCAGTCACACAGCGATAAAAAAAGAAACACACAAATGGCAAGAAGCTGTTGAATTATTAACTGCAATAGCCGGTCGCATGACAGCCACGGAAAGCCGACGGGTAAAGAGATCGGTTGTTATCGGATTATGTCGTTGAAGAGAAATTGTTCGAGCCATGTTTCCGAAGTAACAAAGAGGCGACGGATGGCCTGGATTGCAGCCATTCAAAGACCAAATATAACGTCCCAGAACACTCCAGCTCACAGGTTAGTCTGCTCCAAGCATTCCCACAAAGGCAAGTCTTCTGTTGTAGTTAATGCGCCATTTTCATAACATAATTGGTGATATAGGTTACAAGCAAGTCTGGCGCTGAACAGAAATTGTCGCGCTATGCTCCTGTGTTTATTGTGCATAAATAGTGAATTATCCTGACACAATATTGCGTTTCGCTTCTGTTATTATGGTACATTGACAAAAACATATACTTTTATTCACAGGATAAAACAGGTTTTTTGTATCACTAATTGCCCAGTACGATTACAGCATACAGTATTATTGTCACTGCTACATTTCTGTAACGCGTACCAGAAATTATTTCCACTGCTAATTAATTACCGTTGAGCGTAAAGGTCCTATTAATAAACGGTTAACGAATGTGTATTTATGATGACGATTTGTGAGACTGGTAAACTTACCTTTGTTCATACGATGGTCTTTCGTTCTACACGGTGCATTTCAAGGTCCTGTACCCATCCGTCGGTAAACTGTACCTGGGCTTGTTGCAGTGACCTGAAGTTACTAAACTTCATGAGTGTGTGCACTCACTCCAAGAACCGTATAATTATAAATATGCATATAAATATGCTACAATGAGATAGCTGACTTCATCTAACTAGCAAATGTTGTCCAGGCTACGTTGGTGATGCAGTTTTTTTTAATATGTATGATATTTTTGTCATGCGATTTTAAAGCCGGTCCTACAACCGCATCCAAGAATAACATGCAGCTTGTCTCAGAACTGTCGGTGAAAATTATTCTTGGAGCTAGGTTTAATTGAGCTGCATTTTAAAGAGGTGCAATTTCACAATTTGTGTATATTTTCTAAGTTCACTATTTTGTCATGTGTTGAGAAAAACACAGATTTAAAAATTACATGGTCTAATATTTACATTTAGCATATAACTGCAACATTCTTTTTTCGTTTTTTTTTTTTTTTTTAAGACTTGAAAGGACTTGAAATTCAAAATTTCAGACTTGTGACTTTACTCGGACTTTTGCACCAGTGACTTGAGACTCGACTCTGACTTGCCTGACATTACTTGAGACTTGACTTGAGACTTGAGGATAAAGACTTGAGACTTACTTGAGACTTGCAAAACAATGACTTGGTCCCACCTCTGCTTCTTATGTTCCTGTTAATAAAGACCTGCCTTTGAGTTCATCCCCGTGTGTCTAGAGCCGTGCATTTGGGTCCTCTCTTGCCTTCACACAGCCGCCGCATGACATAAACAATGTTTGTGATGAACTCAAGGGTGAAATACTAATGAGAGAATTGCCCAAAACCCTGTCGGAGGTGATAACCTTATGTGTGAACGTAGATGAACATATGAGGGCGCATCGCTGCACCGGCAACTACAGTTCCCGGAGGCCCGTGGGGCGAGCGGAGACAGCTTCTAGCGGAAGCGGAGGTAGAGATCGGGATGTGGATCGCGGCGATGAGCATGAGCAACCAATGCAGATCGGACGCTCCCAATTCTCCCCGGAGGAACGAGCCCGCCGACGGAGGGCCGGTGAGTGCTTTTACTGCGGCCGCAAGGGCCATATCGCCATTGTCTGTCCAGCACGGCCAAAAGACCACGTCCGCCGGTAGAAAGGAGGGTACGGGTGGGCGAGGTCTCCTTTTCACATTCTCCTCCACGTTTCATGCTAGCTGCTAAAGTGACTGTCCACTCTGCCTCCCACTCCCTTCAGTAGCTGATTTGACTGGAGCAGAGTTTCATGGATGCTTCCCTGGCTCTTGAACTCAAAGTTAACACACAAGCATTGCCCCACGCCTTGCAGGTTACCACTTTAAATGGTCAGCGTCTTCCCAATATAACTCTTATTACAGAACCCGTGTCCCTAACTCTATCTGGTAATCACAGTGAAATGTTACAGTTTTATGTTTTTCAAGCTCCTCTCACACCCTTAGTGCTGGGATTTTCATGGTTGCGCCAGCATAACCCCGTACTCGACTGGAAAGAGGAGAGGGTTCTGGGGTGGGGTGAGGAATGTCACATGACCTGTTTAAAAGGTTAAGGT